AACCTTCTGAGATACCTTTTAAAAAACTCAAACTTGAATATGATAAAGCTTCTGACAATTATAGATTTACTAATAACCAAAAAATTGTTACAAAGTATTCTTTTGCACAAGTTTTTGGTAAAGCTTTTTTTAAAACTTATACTCCTACAGCAATTAGAAATGCTTATACTACAACTGGGATTTGGCCTTGGAATCCTAATGCAATTAATCCAGACCACTTAACACCTTCATTATCAACTGAAAAAAAATTAGAAGTTTTTTTTAAACCACAACATGAACATAATACAAGAAGTCTTAAAATTGCTCAACTTGAAAATGAAAATCAGCAATTAAAAGAATATATTAAAGCTCTTGAACATTTTGGAACTATATCTTTATTATCAATTATGAAATATCCATTTATGAAGACTATTTCAAGTGAAGAAAAACCTAAAACTCGACTTAAAGCTTTTAAATTTGGAAGTTTAGTAACTTCTGAAGCTATTACAAAAGAATTACAAGAAAAAGAAAATATTAAGCAAAAAAAAATAGAAGATATAAAACAAAGAAAAGAACAAAGAGCAAAAAAAAAAGCAAAAAAAGTAAGTACAAAACTAAAAAACTAATTATTAAAAAAAAAAAATTATAAAATATAAAATTTTTAAAAAATTTATATTATATTAATAGGAATAGGATGGCAAATTAAAATTTCTATAAATTTTATAAAATTTAGCTTTATTTAAAAAAAATTTTTTTTGTATATAAATATTATTCAATTTAGATATTTTTTAATAATAAATTGATTATATATCAGATATATTATATATATTTTTTAGTAAAAAAAATATTAATTTTTAAAAAAGGTTTATATATTATAAAAAAAAGTTTGTGGAAATAGGGCAGTGCACCTTATATATACAACTACTGCAATATTCTTTCTGGCTATCTTTTCTGGTTGTGGCTATCTCTAACCAATGCTTTATTATGATTTTATTTGTTTCTTTTTTCTGAACTCAACCCAGTATTATCTGGTTAGCTATATTATTATAGAGCAGAATCTAGTCTTTTTCTCTTTTATCTAAACTAATTCTTGAAAAGCAAAGAACTAGAGCTTCTTTGTTTGCTTTTTGAGTCTCAAACTAGGTTTTAACTTTATATTCACTCTTGTTTTCTAACACTCTGTTCTTGATATTTTTGTACCAGTATTGGGTCTTGTCACTGCAGTTTAGATTTTTTGATACTCTTATTTGCTGCCATATTAGTAAGCTTTTGCTACCCAGGTTTAATAGCTAGTTGAAGTAGTAAATGCCGAGCTTTGCTTGTAACCTTCTACTTCTTTTTTTTTGCACTATATTTAGCATACTTGCTAGTATTAATCTTGAGCCTAGAATACTTCACCTTTTTTTTTTTGTTAAAAATACTATATCCAAGTTCTTGCACTGATTTATTACATTAAGTGCAATATTGTCTTTGTAATCTGCCTTTGGCTCTTCATATAAGTGTGTCTAGATATTTTGTGTAATACCTTTATTTAGAATTCCTTGTCAAATTCACAGCTTGGTTAATTGTTCTACTATACTAGTACTATTTAGCCTTTTGATTAAACCTGTAGTCTGCTTTGCTATAACTGCATTTGCTAGTATTTTGACTTCTAGAATACTACTGTGAGTCAGAATACTGTTTAGTACTATTTGTGCTATTCCTATCTTCTTCTTTATTAAGTATAGTAAGGGCTGATGAATTGTATATAGTTCTTTTTCTATTAATGTAAAATATATTCTAGTTTGGAAATTAGAACTTGATTGTTTATATATACTAGTTAACTTACTATCTTTTTTTTTTTTTAATTTCAGTATAAAAAGCTCTACTCTTTTTTCTTGATCTCTTTTATCTCTTTTATAGTATATAGAAAGATTTCTAGAAACCGTAGCTTATGTAGTCTTTTTTCTGCCTTAACTGTAGTATCACTATAATCTATCTGCCTTTTTGCTATTGAGTGTTCTAAATTAAAAACCACTAGCTTAGACTTGCTATCATTAATTTCTATACTATTTAGCAAAAAGAACTGCTTTGCTATTTGAATCATTTGTTCTAGTTAGGTTTTTGATTTTGCAATCCATATAGTGTAATTAGCATAGACAAAAACTGCTTGTCTAATATTGGCTAGTCTTTTAATTCTTAGAAGTGTTTCTACCTATACTGGTATTCTTGCTTTATATCTAAGTGCTTTGTTTTTCTATACTTGCTTTAAAAGAGAGTTATAAAAAATTCACCATAGCAGAGAAAAGATTGCTTTTCCTTAATCTATGCCTTCTTCTGCTATAACTTCTTGAGTCAAGCTATAGACTGTTATGATCTTTAACTTCCTGTTCTTAAATAAATTGTGAACTAGTTTGCACACACAATCTGAGATTTTGATTCACTTTAATGCTTTTTGCAATATATGAAGATTTACCAAATTGAAAGTCTTTTTTATATTTTGAAATAATATCCAAAATTCTTGCTAACTTTCTTTTGCATCTTCGATTAGAGCTTTCAAAATATGTACAAGTTCTTCTGTAGAGTTTTCTAGCAAACTAGCGAAGTTAGAGCTTTGCAGTATGTCTTTTTCTTTAATAACTTTGCTTAATTTTTTTGTTAAGACTTTTGTAACATATTTTCTAAACACTTTTATTAGTGTAATTGGGCTAACTTTATCAAGGCAATACTCTCAATCTTGTCTCTTTGGAATTGGGTAAATTTGTATTATTTTTCAACTAGTTGAAACATTATCAACTTTTTAGCATAACTCTGCAAAATTCTTAAAAACCAGTTGCATTTTCAAGTTCGCCTGCTTTAATAATATATAAGAAATTGTTGATATTTCTGATGCCAAGTTTGTTTTGCTTTTATTTAACATTAATTGCCATTTTGCTAAAGAAATTGGTTGCAATACTAAATCATACCATGATTTTTGAATTTATTTTTTGGGTTAATATTCTTTTAGTCATAAACTCTTTATCTTATTGCTACCTTTCTTTTTGTTTATAAACTGGTCTTGAAAATATTCTCAAACTTTTTCAAATACCTCTACTGGGTTAGTTGCTAGCTTGAATAATTCTGAATCTTGTATAAATACTCTGTCTAGTACTATTTTGTTATAAAGCCTTTCTAGTAGTCTTGCTAGTATTCTTTTTAATCATTGACAATTTGCTCTGCTCTCTTTTTAATATAATATCGGATCTCACTTCTTTTAATATGTTCTGTATTTTTTACTAGCTTGCCTTCTATTGCTTTTCACCAAATAACTGCTTTATTTTGCTATATTGATATTTCTGTTGGCACAATTTCTTTAATAATACTATCTGTTCATATATTCACCTGCTTAATTTTTTTGTTTAGATACACTGCCTTCTTATTAAGCTCTTTTTTATTTAGTTGTTTTGTTTCTCTAATTAGTTTATTTAGAAAACAAATTGCTTTGTAGAACTTATTCTTTTCACTTTTGTCTTTTGTATTTTTCTTGCTATTAACTAGTTTGTTTGGCAGGTTAGTTTTGGCAGCTTGTACAATTGCTTTCTCTATCAGTTTCCAGATCTGATTGAGACTTGACTCTATTTGTATTATAGTAAATGAATCTATCTCAAGCGAGTTATACTTAAATATGTTTAGTAGTTTGTTATTTAGTCTGTTTTACAGATTTTCTTGATAGTTATTCCAATTTTCTTTTATGGCTTTGTCAAATAACCAAACTCTTTATTTTAGATTGTGTAGAGCTTTATCTTGTTAATTGCTTGAAAGAGCTAAATGAGCTCAGCTTATTTTTGCATATACAAGATCATAGTCACTACTTGTAACTATTGTCATTTTTCTAATATTAGCTTCTTGCATTAACTTGACTAACTTACTTGATACCCAGATTTGATCTATTCTTGTTGCTATTGTACTATTGCTCCATATAAACTTCTTTTTATCTGAGTTAAAGAATTTGCAAAGCCCTGGTCTTTAAGCCATTTGTGTAGTAGTAGTTTTTTGCTATTTTCAACTTGAAATGATTTGTTCAAGATTGGATTAATTGTGTGATTGAAATCTTCTATTACAATTGTGATTTGTTTTTCTGTCTCTTACTCATACTCTGCTAAATTATACTTTTTATCTCTTTTGTAGCCTCTGGATTATTTGAAGGAATATATACTGTAATTACTACTACTTTGTAAACTTTGAAGTAGAAATGTACTATTAGTAAAAATTCGCTTGGTTGGTCTATTCTGCTTATATGCTTTTCTAAATCTTTTCTAACAAGCAAACCCACTCCAAAGCCTTTTTTTTTTGTCTTTGAAACTAATAACCAAATTTCTCTAAACCTAATACTATTCTTCATTATATATTTAGCTTCTACTTCATATAAATTTGTCTTTATTATTCCTATTATATTATAGCTTTCTTCTTCTCCTTAATCTACCAACATATTTACCCTATGTTTATATGTATTTAGCCTATTAATATTGTATATTGCAATTTTAATTTGTTTAACTAGTCTTGTAGTATGTGTTGGTACTTGTTATGCCCAAACCTGGTTTTTATTCGGAGTATCTGAAATTGTTTTAACAACTATGGCCACTTTTAAAAGCAGTTAGAGATCTCATTTCCTAATTGCCATTCTTCTAATAACTTTATTCTTTTCAAGATCTCAAGTAACAGATCTGTTTAGATATTCTCATCTTCTTTCTTTTTGCCTGAAATTTTTTTTGAAATTTGGTTTGAATCTTCTTTTAATTTTTTTGCTTAAGTGGCAAAATTTCTAAGCTTTTATTAGTAAATTTATGTTTAAGTCTAGTAGGATTTTTTTTTTTAACTTTTTTTAAAACTTTTGTCTGTAGGCTTATATTTTCTTTGTTTGTTGTTCGCTTTTTGTTTATCACTTTATGTTTTAGATTTTTGGTAGTGTTATTACTTTGTTGACCTTTATTTTCAATCTCCATATTAACACCCTCTATCTTTACTGGTTTTATATTGCAGTTGGTTTGTGATTTCAGATTTCTGTAATAGCCTTGGGCAACTGTAAAGCCTTTGTTTATGAGCTCCTTTGTTGAAAGCTTCTATTCAAGCTTGGTACTATAGTAGTACAGATTTGTTTTTTGAGTCTGATGCAAGTCCTCTTTTGTTTTGAAGTATAAATATGCTCTTCTACTTTGATTGCCATTGTAATTACTTAATATATATACTGTTTGTATATTGTGTTTTCTAAATTGATAAAAAAGTAAGCTATCTATTGCTAATAATAACATGTTAAATATTGTAGTTTTGTATTTGTTTCATTTTTCAAGTTTTTTAATATTAAACTTTCCTGATATAATTCTATTGGTCTTATCTTGATCTAGATATATAAACCAATTCTTTCTTAATAAGTTTTCTCGATTTTCTAATCTTGATATAATTTTGATAAAAGCTGCTTTAGTTGTAAAGTTTTGTTGTTAGGCTAAGATTGTTGCTATACCAAGATAGTTAAGAAATCTTTTAATTTCTTCTACTTTTATATCTTTTGAAAGATCTCATAGTATGAGGAAATATAATGACTCCTTTATATAGTTTTGTGATATGAAGCTATCTCATAATGCTCAAGCTGAGTTATAGATGTTTTCTTGAGTTTTATACTTCTTGTAACTCTTTTTTTTTTTTGATATAAGCTTTTTTTCTGCTATATGTTCCTTTAG